AAAAGCATTGGTGTACATAACCTAAGGTTAAAAAACCGCCCTCAAATGACCCTGGCTGTTGTGGGGCAATAAACACAATAAAACAGCAAATTGTTTGATTGGACTCTCAGGTCTGTTGTATTGAATTGAATAAGTAAACAAATGAATAAAGAATATAATTAAGTAATATAAACAAACAGAAAAGAAAAATAGAAAATATCTAGAACTGAAGGCGGAACAATTTTCTGACAATGCTATCTTTGTTGGTAAGTATATTAGCTACTTTATTAGGGACCCAACAGTCCTGGTATATTGAACTTGGGTTGTTGCTGTCTTCGGGGTTGAAGTCTTTTTGGGGGATGGAGCAGTGTAGAAACAGATAATACAGGTCACCTTACTAGTGTTAACTGGTGGGAATTTCTTTTAGTTAGTTGGTAGAGTGTCCAGGTAGAGAACGAAATGATGCTTTTTAAATCCCAGCAGGTGAAAGGTATATCCCATTACTCCTTCTTGTTACACATTGTTTAACAGGTGGGAACCTCATCAGTTGTTTACCCAGCGGCCATGTTTGCTCCAGAAGAAGCTAGCCGTGGTGTTCCTGTGGCTGAAATAAATATGGAGGAAACTGATGTCACAACAAGTCTAGGGTCAGTATACTTTCATATTGAGATCACTACATCAGTATGTTTGTGTTCAAAGGATCTTCAGTATCTAACATTCATGGAAGATTATATTGTATGACAAGACTTTTTCTGGGGGCCCTATTCCCAACTGAAATTATATTTAGGCTAAATTCCCAAAGTTTGCTATTTGTTCTTCGAAGTTCACTTCCAAATTCACCAATTTTCTTTCAAAAATGAGGCAAAAATGCCACATCCCAAACCTGTGAAAAAAGCCCATGCAAGAATACTGCTTCTTTTATGGATAAATGCTCATTAAAATCTGAGGCAGATTATATTTGACAAGTAGCTACCTTGGGTAGAGACCTATAATGTTTCATCTTCTATTGACCTTGACCTGCTTTCAAGGAAAGAGCAAACTGATCACCAGTAAAGCATCTTATGCCTTGATGAAGTGTAAAGAATTTTAGAGATTATAAATAGCTTCATTCGTCATATAAGTTATTATTTGTTTATTTGTTGACAAAGTCCATACTTGAGCTCACGGAACATCCATTATGCAGAAATTAATTGTTGTATAAAGTTTAATCTTTGTTTTAGTCAGAATATTTCTTTACAATTGTTTGAAAATATCCAGATATTAAGATATAAAAGCTTCTGTAGTCTTTTTTTAAAACTTTTTTAATCTTTATTATCAGATGAAGATGCACCTTCACAAAATCAGATATCTTATTAAGCCGAAATTCTGTTAAAGTAGAGTGTATATAAAGTACTGACAATGTCTACTGATGTCTAGTGACTTCAAGATGTGTGTTTAGACTACAGGCCAAGTTCATAACCATGCTTTTGTTTCAGATTTCATTTCCAAGGACCAGCAGGAACCATTGTGCCAGAAGCTCTGGCTAAACATGAATCGGAACCCTGAAATTGTTCCCTGTGTCAGACCCTGAAGACATTCCCTGAATGTGAACACTGGAGTTGTTCTTTGTAACAACACTCTGAAATTATTTCTGTGTGTTGGAACCATGAAGTTATTCCATGTATCAGAAGGCTGTAGCTTCTCCTTGTCTAAAATGTCCATGGTGTTATTGCTTTATTCATAAACAAAGAGCATTAATCCAGTGATCGAAGCAGTGAAACGAAACTGAATATCTTCAACATTGGATTTTTTAAAACTTCTGTGATAAGTAGTCATCATTATGTTGATAGTATAGATTATGCTATTATTTTTTTTATGCATAAAAGAATAATTATAGTATAAAAAGACCCCACAAAATGCACGAACTTAAAGTTATTCTTTATTGCTGACAGAGCTACAGTGTAGATACGGCCGAGGATAAGGATTAATTCATTGCCTTTCTGTCTTCCCTATTTACATATGTAACCTCAGGTGAAGAGCAGAGGTGCATGGTACAATGCTGCCTACGCATGTTATTTGTGTTACTCGGTCCTGACCTGGGTTGTGTCCTTGGGCAAGACACACTTTAAAACCCCATTTGCTCTAGATAGCAAATAATGGGCCTCCCTTATGTTTTTCAGTGAGGTATCCACTATCAACAGCAAGGAGAATCTGCCCAAAAATTACTCTTGCAGTTCAGGAGATGATGAACCCAGCAGACACACCATTATACATATATATATATTACATGTAATAAATCAAATACAGAATGTATAATTCTCTCCTACTCCTGAGAATATTGTGTTTACATGACAACACAACAAGAAGAACATTGTCAACAGATCAACTTCTGTATCATAATACCACACAGTTAACATAAAACCGAGTAATCAGATGTAAACAAAGCTGAAAAATGAAAAACAACTGAATACCGGGATATTTTCACCCCACCAGGTTATTTTCTACATTGTACCATAACACACAAATTCTCACCATGGTCGTTTCTTTCTCAGAGGATTACATAACAGGGTTACATAAGTGTAATAAATTTTTGCCTCATCTTAAATTCACACTCCCTGTTCATAGGTGAAAAAGGGTGAAAATTAAACAGGGACGTAAAATTCCTGTTATGCAGTATATCTATAAGACCATTGTAGCTTGCTAATATACATTTTACTAAAATGCAGTGCTTGGAAAATCTTGGGGAATAATTTGACCTCTATAGACAGTGGACATTTTGGTCGAGCATTTGATATGGCAATATTACAATGTCAGCATAGACATGGGCTTTTACAAATTCAGCATGCACATTTTACCTCCCATAAGTGGAAGCCTTTGATCGACTGGTGGTCACTGTTATTTAGCCCACCAACATCAGATGAGGGTGGTCTGATTGTGTAGTGGTATAATGCATTCAGATGTCCAGGGTTTGATTCTCTGAGTGGACATGAAAATGTATGGGAATCACCTGCCTGACCACATGGGCTTTCCCAGTTACTGCAGTTTCTTGGCTAAACGGAATGATTAATATAAGCTGATAGCTTGTTTCCCAATTGTTGTAAAATGAATAAAGTTGATATTTATCACATGATGGGCAAATCACCTTTCATCAATGTTCATTGGCAGTCAACAGTCTGTCCATAAACAAAAATCATTCATTCATGAACTTTTGTCCAAACAGTCCATGAGTATAACAGGTGTACATTAAAAACAAGGTACAATATGTATATATGAAATACTAGAAACAAGAAAAGAAAGTGAAGAATGGATTAAGATCTCAATTTCTTAACTTCTTTGACTCAAAAAATAGGTTTACTTGCATGTATTTGACACAAATCCTTGGTATTTTTCACACAAATTTAAACATAAACAGATTTCTCTAATAGTACATACCTTTTTATGAAACATTGTCTTAAATCTTTGTAAGTATCACATGTCAAAATAAAATTACTTCAGTAGTTGATTTACAAGTTGTACAGTATCTCTGAGCTCAATTGACAGTATGGTACTGGCCTGTTTCTATTGTAAGGAATGTGAAGACAGATGCAATCATGTTGAATTAATTATTAAAATTCTTCTGTGTATATTTTGTCAAATAATGCTGTATAGAAAAGTTATCTACAATATGCTTGTATAAATAAAATCTTGATGAGGACTCCATTAAACATCTGGAGTTTTGTTGTTCTTTGTGAAAAATTCTTAGTTTAACTTCAAATTTAAAGTTAATTGGCATTACCATATATTACCAAATTCTATACCAGTCACTTGATTTTTCACATAATGCACCTATCTACAGGTAGTTAAAACAGGTTCCCATGCTCTTTTTTTATGCACAATTCAAAAAACTGTTTACAGAATCTCGTAATTTTTACCAATACCTGTTAATTCTGTATTTTGTAGATACAATAAAATGGTAAATGACCAAGTTCAAAATATATCAAGATGTCACATGTAGATTTACTTAGTTTAAGTAGTCTCTTACATAATTTAAATGAATTTTTTCAATGACCAGCCCTTTTGAGGGCCCCCTTAATTCACAAACATTACACAATATGCCGCTTACATGTGTAGTAAACAAGTATAATATTGTTTTACAGTTGATCTCTATGTGTTAAGTAGCACTGGTGGAATATTTCTCAAACTTAATATTTATCTTCCCCATGGTTCCTAGTTCCTATTCAATTTTGAGATTTAAATTATAAAAAAAAAATTCTTAAGGCCCATATGATCAAATCTAACAATTCATGGATGTCCATTTAGAAGGGCAACAATTAACATAATGTATTTTAAGAAGAGCTTTTACTACAATGTTTCTAAGGGTACAAATCCAGCAGATATGATCTTGTGTCACCATTGTGTCTTTAAATATTATTATTATCATCTTAACGGCCCGTCAACACATAAAAGGTCATCCGGTGAAAGACACAATAATCCAAAATAAAATAAAATAAAACAAACTCTAAAAATCATAAATGGTTAAATTATCACAAAAGATTAAATGGTAAATCATACAATATAGACCAACAACTTTCAGATAGCCTAGAATTTGATATGCTCACCTACTTCTCAATCCAAAGGGGTTCAATGATCATCGTAGAATGTTCTAAATTTTCCAGTAAGAGAGAGCCTTATTCACATATCTGTCTCTTCAACAATGAAAGGCATAATTGTAAATACGTTTAATCGTAATGATGAATCTATATCTGTGAAGAAAATGAAATACACTTTAAAATAAACTGTACGACCCAAATATGATATTTTCCCGTAGATCTTACTGTATATCGTTTGATATATAAACACTGTGAATTAAGAAAAAAATATTCATTTGGGGAAAAAATGAAGAAAAGAAGAAGGAAAAAATTTTGTTCGCGCTAAGCCTCGAGCCGTATGGCACCATCACGCCGCCAAAATTTTATCGGAAATAGCCATTACACTGACAACGTCACTAAGACGTTTGAAAGGGCTCCAAATTTAAACAAGCACCTACTAAACTCACAGACAGGATGGACAACAAAACAGAACGTTTAGTATGGGTTGACTTAGAGATGTCTGGGCTGGACATAAGCAAAGATCACATCTTAGAAATGGCTTGCTTGATCACAAATGGCGGCTTAGATGTTGTAGCAGAAGGGCCAAATCTCATCATAAATCAACCCGATAGTGTGTTGGATGGCATGGGGGATTGGTGTAAAAATCATCACGGACAGTCTGGTCTCACGGAGGCTGTAAAGAAGAGTAACATTTCATTAGCATCAGCAGAACAGGAAATGTTAAAATTTATACACAACACACCCTTCCTAACTGTGCAATACTTTCGGGTAACTCCGTACATGCTGACAAAGTCTTCCTGGATAAATATATGCCGCAGTTTATGGCCCATCTCCATTACCGAATTGTGGATGTCAGCACCGTCAAAGAACTCTGTCGTAGATGGTATCCTGAAGAATTCAAAAAAGCACCCACGAAAAAATTATCTCACCGAGCTCTGGACGATATTAAAGAAAGTATAGAAGAGTTACGGTTTTACAAGTCATCAATATTCAAATGAAGGGGAAATGTGCCTTGGTTTGAGGGTAGCAGTACTTACACACTTCAGTTTATGAAAGGAAACTCAAATGAATTCTACTGGAAAGTTCAATATGTGCAATTAAAACACTGGATGGAATTGAATTTTCTGTATGATCACTCAGAAATTTGATAGGTTTTCAATCTGTGAATATATCTATAGCACCATTTCCAAAATTTTGGTGAGTCCAGTTATAAAACAAAAAAATTCTCGGAATGTGAACGAATTACACAGAGAAAGCATGAGGCCAGGACTCCAAAATTTGAGTCTCAAAAATCACTGTCACTTACAAAGATCTGGCCTGGAATCAACAGTAACAGATGAAGAAGAACCATTCTACAATCTTTCTGATGAAATATTGCAAATTGTTTGAATAATATATTGGAATCTGTTCCCTATCCTGCTGATGGGGGTGTTTGCTTTAATGACACCTGTACATACTAATACATGAAGGGGAATTGACTGACCCTACAGATTGAGGGGTATTTTATTTATGTAATTTAGTAAACTGTACTGCAAAATTATTTATGTCTGTTCCAAATGATCGACTTTTATTTACCCCTATATGCCTGTCTGGCTAATATTTTTGTGTATTGATCTGGAAAACTTACAATTTTACCTTACTAAATGAATTTGTACATATGTATCCAAACTTTGGCAGTAGAATATAGAAGGTATAATGATAAGCTGAGAGAGTGTAGATAATGTAAAGACAGAAATGCTCCCTTACAGGTACAGAGGACAAATTTAATGTTTCATTGATATGGTCAGAATTCCAAAACCTGTTAATCAATAAAACCATCTATGTTTAAAGTTGTTTGCTTATTGACTTTCTACTATGAAAAAACATTTATGAGAATAAATTAAGGGTACTGTAAGGAAAACTTCGTTTGTTTATTGTGAGTATGGTATAGAGAACTATGATAGAAATAAACTTTCTCTGTACATTGTGTATGGTTTTACCTGCATATTTTTATACTGATGGGTCTGCCAAGGGCTTTTAGCAACCTTTTAAGCAATATATGATTCTCCAAGATGCATTTATATATTTCAAAGGAATTGTGCTGCATACCATTCCTTAAACATTATTTTATCACTTGTGAATTGTCACATTTTTACAACCACCTATATACAGTTTGTAGATCAAACTGCTGGATCCCTGGAAACTTTTGGTCAAAAGAACAGTCAAAGCGTCAACCCACTTCACCATTGTTGTGTATTGAGAAAAGAAATGGAATAGTAAGAAAAATCCTAGAAGCCAAGAGTAACGATCCATTTTCAGCAAATTTTAATCATTATTTGAATTAAGAAGGGTATTTCTGGTGAATTGATAAAAATAAAGAAATATGTATATATATAAATAAATTTCATTTTTGAGTGGCCAAAGGCCCCTTAGCTCGAGTCCAAAATTATCCCTATAGGTTGTGAAGTGGCAGGAAAATCCTGTTTTTGGTCATCAGTATAGCTCTGTCCCTTGGCATGTTGGTGACAAAAACTTCTGAAGTCATTACATTAAGCTGATATGTAATACTAGCTATAGGGACCTATTGCATTTACATACATTAAAATTATACCCCTGGTTTCATATTCATGAAAATCTGACTTCTTTTAAATAATCAATAGTTGTGAATATTTTTTTGACCAATCCCTATATATATATACCATTAATTTTCATCAACCTAACCTCTTTTTTCATTATAAATATGCCTGGCACCATAAAAAAATGTCATGAACTTGGCTTCTCTTTTCATACTAAATAACTTATCTTCTTTTCATAGATTTATACCCTAGATATTCATGAACTTGACCTCTCTCTTCATATTCATATACAATGAATATTCATGAACTTGACTACTCTCTCTTTTGACAATGATCAAGCATTAATATTTCATTTATACGCATTTATTCTGCTTAATTCTTTGCATATAAACTCATTGGTAAACTCCATTAAAGACAATTACAAAGTCCAAAAATATATTGCTGTTAGTAAGGGCGATACTGTTAAGGAGAAGTTTGATGTAGAATGGAGTAAATGGAAAAGGTTAATTGACATGTAGTCGGATTTTGATAAATTCTACCTCAAATATATAATATATATTTATACGAAAGTAGGATGTTTCCAAACCCTTGACAAGGCCATTCTTATCCTCTCAGTCTTCCATCCATTTCTTTCATCTTTTTTCTTAAATGCTTTTCCTATTTCTCACTGTTTTTTTCTGTCCAGTAAATTATGTGCAATACATATCTGAAAAATTTGTTAGCATCTGTGTCTTTTTTTTTTTTAATCAGCATTTCTGATATTAAATACACCATCTCTTGAAATCTTTGGTTACTGCTCCCTGGAGTTGATGTATGCTGTTAAGATTACTGAATTTTGTGAGGTGTGAAATGGTGTGGTAGTGATGTAGTGAATGAGAATTATGATTGTGATGATGATGAGGGTATAATGGTGGTGGTGGTGATAAGGATCATGATAATAATGAAATGGTGATGATGATCTTGATTTGTAATGATGATGATGATGATGATGATGATTATGATGATGATTATGATGGTGATGATGGTTGTGGTGATGATGACAATTGATCTTGATTTGAGATGATGAAGTTGGCGGTGGTAGTGGAGGTGATGTGATGATAATGATGATTGATACATAATGATGGTGTGATGAGGATGATTATAGTGATGATAAGTGTGATGATGATGAGGATGATATTGAATTGTGATGATGATGATGATGATGATGATGATGATGATGATGATGATGATTAGGATGGTGATTGTGTGGTGATGATGATAATGATGATATGTATTGTACATTAAAATGGAAATAAAAAGATAATTACAAAAAAAAAAAAAAAAAATTCATTTATACGAAATGAATGTCCTGGAAAGTGACACAAATAAGTATAAGACATCTGATATGAAAGCAAGGCAAATGTTTATTCATATTAATTCATAAGTATAGACTCTAGTACAATATGTATAGGCTGTTATTAAGCATTCATTCTCATCTCTATCCACACACAGAAAAGAGACATACTCTTTATATATAGAAGATACCATCCCTCATTCTAACATGTATTTATACATTTTACAAATGACTTATTTAATAGTATAAAAATATCTAAATGAAATGCACTTTTGAAGTACTTGTGCCAAACACACTGAACAGAGAAAAGTACAAAAAATATTCAATTAAATCAACCTATATCAATATGGATGTATATGATTTTATTATTTTATGATTGAAAAAATCCTTGATTATTGAAATTTCTAATAACATGTTCCTGTTGACATTTAAAGAAAATGAAAATGACGGTCCATAATGAGTCTCTATAGGATTATAGTACCTTCAGCTTTATCCAGAAGTATATATGATTGATATGTAAAAGCTATAAAAAATCCCATCAACACGATTACAGAATACCAAAGTGTAGAAAAAAAGTGATAACAGACTCTCATAATAAATATCACTCTGAGTTTTTATTTTCTCATCAAATTCCAAGCTTGAACATTGCATTTCTTTCTTTGTACAATATATATTTCTTTTGTCACAAAAAAGTTTGAGTCAAAGATATGGACAATTCTTGTATGTAATAGCACTTTTCTACTGTAGCATATAATAACAGACATCACATTTAATTCGCTACAACATTTCCCTTCTTTTTTTTTTTTTTTTTTTACAGAAAGAAGGTAACTTGATATCCAACACTTTTTATCTGACACTTAATCAGAAATACTAAATGTATTAAATTGTTCCTGAAATTCATACCATATTGTATCGCAAAGTGTGTCATGCAATAAGATAAAAAAAATCAGCTTTAGTTTAAACTTCACTCTGATTTCAGGGAAGACATTTTGCATACTGAGTATCGTAAAAAATAACTTTGAACCAAAATTACAAATAATTACTCAAAGTCTTCAGAGCAAATTTACCACAAAGGACTATTTTCTAAGGAAGGAAAATTGGAGTCAATAGTGTTAAAAAACCAATGATTCCCTTGAACAGATGGAAGTCCAGTATCAACAATCAACAAATTAACATAGAGTAGACATCTTCAGTGCATACTACTGCAGCTTGGTTGCTATCATCTTACACTTAGTATGCAAATCTCATTTCTGGGGGGTAGCCAAGATTTTCCAGATTTGGGATACATGCAAAGTTAATCATGGGAGGAGGTCCACACATGAGGATCATTGTGCCTTCTTCTGGACCAGGAAGGTGGTCTCTAATCATGTCAGCACTCACAAATCCCTTACTGTATGTCCAACCTGTTAAAAGAATCACAGTATATTGACAAGAAATTGTGCATTGCTGGAGCTAGATAAAAATATATATCACATGACTCATGTTGTTCAGAGCTTTATCCCAATTTAATGTTTTTGTATTCATGAACATATGTTATATGACCTTTGACACTAACATACTAACAGAATACATTGTGCTGTCAAAATTGAAATGGGGACTTCATATTTGATATGGTTAAAATATTTCCGCAATGATTACGAAAAGATTTGATGATGTGATAAAAATCATCTTGACGAAACACGTCTATATGAGATTTCCTTTTGTACAATGATATCCAATGAGCACAGAGCCATACCTCTTTGTATGGAAAAGTTGCAGTAACTATATATAAGACTAAATTTCATTGCAAATATCTTTTATACCCAGGGAAGTAGATATAAAATTATTGAGGTTGTAAGCAAGAGATTAAAGATATTTCCCTGACAAGATGATGCTGACAGCGATGGCCTTGGAGTCCTCCTGTAACTTCAGTAGGGGCAGAAATCGAAGAAAATTATCTGTTGCACCCATACCAACTAGCAAAGAATTATCAACACATACCATCTTCAGGTCTGTCCAAAGTGTACCAGAGATGGAAGCGGGATGGGTGTTTTGTAGCGATGTCTTCAAGTTCAGTTCTCAACAGGATGTCATTCTCAGTCTGAAAAAAAAGAATAAAGTCCATAATTGATTAATTACTTTGTCTGGTTAAGAGATAAAGCACATTTCACCTCTATAAAAACCTCAAAATTACATTTATACCCTTAATCATCAATAAGTCCATATCAGGCATCAAAGTGTGCCTCTAAAGAGACTTATCGTAAAATCACATATTTCTGCTGGATTGACATTTTGTGGTTTTCCAAGAAAATACATTTTCATTGGCATTTGATCTTGTGGTTGATCCTTTATCACAAAACCCACTATACCCTGTGTCAGCTTTTATCTGTTTAATATTTTGTGGACATATAAATTCATGGAATTAGAGAACCAAAGAATCCAATAAAAATAAATCCTTAACAAAAATTATTGTTTTACAGACAGAGTACACAGCTGCATATGACAGAGAACCCGACAAAGTTTATAGAAATTCAGCATAAACATGGGGACTTGTGGAGCCATAGGTTTGACTTTCCCTCACCTGGTTGGCAAAGAGCAGAAACAACTCAGTCTTGTCCTTGGGATCCTTGAACACCTGCCTTATTAGCTGTAACATTGGAGTGATACCAGTTCCGCCTGCAATCATCCCGACTTTCTTGGCGGTGTAGGTAGATGCCTCAGTCTTTTCGTCAGGGCGAATCTTGAACTCTCCTTCGAACACAGAATACAAAACTATGACAACAGAATCACATAACCAAGCCACAATATGTAAGAACAGTGTAACTTCAAAGAATTGCCTCCTCGGTTAAACTCAACATGATCACATGTTGTGGATAGAAAAGGTTTGTAAAACATTGATAGGACAGTTCTACATGGTTGTGTTCTTTGGCAAAACATTACCTAAATGCTCTGCTTGGCATGCAACAGGCTTCCCATATGTTGTTCGGCAAAGTAGTCATAAGATACTACAAGAACAGCATCAAAATCACCCTGGCTGTGTATGGGGGGATACATCCAACAAATTTCCAAAGTGGTGGAATTGGAGCTTAACACCAAACGCATATCTGAGCTCAATACCTTTTTAACTGACATACAGTCAAATCTGTCAGCTACATAAAGATCACACAAAGAAACAGAGAGAAGTGGCATAAGAGAGTAGTCTTTAAACTGACATAATATGCCAGTAGCCTTTATAGACAGGTATTGTTGTATAAAGGCGACCTTTATTGACAGGTATCTGATACTGGATACCATTATATACTGGTATTTATTATATACAGGTGACCTTTATGGAAATGTATTTCAATATACAGATAACCTTTTTTGACAGGCATGTTTTGTTTACAGGTGGCCATTATGGCAGATCTGACAGCATGTGGAAAGTTCTACTTTTCATAGTTTTCTAATACAGAATTGAAGGTAAATTCAAAGTACATAACTTTTAATAATTGCAAGACTTACAGCATTACAGAAATGGATTTTAACACAAGAGAGAAACTATTTGAACAGCGGGGACATGAAATTCTCTTAACAACGCCTTGAGGAAATTAAGTTACAACACTAACAGCGGGTTTAATTTTCTGGTTTCATCTACCTGAATTTTTTACCCCTGAAATTTGTTTTCCAGAAAATAATGTATGATAGAACATTTCTAAATAAACTATTGCCACTGCATCTGAACAAGTCAGGGGTCAAATTTTGGAGATATAAATCAGTTTATGAAATATTTATCAAAAAAAGAATACTGTGTATCTCACACATACTATAACAGGAACACCTGTTTTGGTCAAATCAGCAACAGTAAATGGGGCTTCATATGGGTTTAAATAGAAATTATGCACATAGAATCTCAAAATGGTGGTTTAGAAGTAAATCTATTACGAATTTGTATTGCTCAAAAGTTAGTGTGCACAACAGCAAGTTGTTTACAGCAGCTTGAAATTTCATAGTGGCAATCAACATAGGCGACATGAAAATCAGATTTCACAGTATCAACAAACTTGATCAATTTTGGCAGCATGATGACTTGATCCTCTTGAAAAAAGAATAAAAGTACACCGAAGAGAAGATGTTTTTGAAATACCTGGTGAGGTGTATTTGAGGAGACCACTAGGCCCACGCACATCAATGTAGTCGTCAATAGACATCGCTTCAAGGTACTGAGTCATTTTACCTCCCTCTGGGAAGTTGGGATGGACATTCGCAAAATAAATCTGTTAAAAACAACTTAGACATCATTGGATGGCAGAAAAAAATCTTCGACAGGAAAATGAAATGGGAGCAAAAAAATACTAGCATAAGATTTTCCTTTGCAACTTAATGCAATTAAACTTATCCTGATACAAATACACAGACTTGAGTTGTCTCCCCTCCTCTATCAAAAGTTAAAATACTTTTTAAGAAAGAGTACATCCTGAATCTTAAAGTTAAATACTTTGCTCCAGATCTTCAATTTGGAAAAGCATAATAAACTCCAAAGTAAACAAGAACTGGAATCGAAGGAAGAATTAGAAAGAAATGAGATAGCGCAAAGTGTGACATTATCCCCCAATCCTCGCTGTTTAAAAAGAAAGACACACAATCATATATATATGTCAATATTACAACAAGTTTGAATTTTATTTGTTATTTTAATTGTTCTATACAAAGTATCAAAATGGAGAACTTCTACTAGAGCACTAGCTTGATGTCTGTACAAAGTTTTGAGTACCGGGTAATTACCTTGAACTGGCCTGAAAAAACTGAACTTTGTGATTTGGCCTATCTGTTTCCATGGTAACAGCAAAAGTATTTAAATGGAGCACTTCCCCATAGCAAAATAAACTACTAGCTTAATAAATGTAAAAAAAAGTTTGAGCAATTATCTTTATCTTTTCAGAGCACTGGTCCAATAAAACTGAAACGTGTGATGAGGGTCATCCATTTCCATGGTAACAGAAAAATTATGAAAAATGAAATGTCGTCAATAGCAAAAGGCACAACTAGGGCACTAACTTAATATATACAGAAAGTTTTGTAGAGTTGAGTGAAATGGTTTCAAAATTGTAGCTTGGAAATGAATGTAAACACTAATTTTGCATTTTTTTATGATGTTTCCATGGTAACAAACAAATGGAACAATCTGTTATATTTTTTAAAAGTTAATATGAAAATTTATGTGACAATCCCTGCATTTTGTAGAAACCTGTTTTTTGGCCAATCACAGAAAAGAGATTTCTGTTACATAATAATTCCTATTAATGAATGACAATTTGATCAATATTCAATCATTATGATACAGAACAGAAATGAAGAGCCACACCAACCTTGATGACAAGGTCCATGTGGCCTTTGTCGTCATCACTGGACACTGGAGTGTACGGCCGAATAATTAGCTGACCATCAATGCGAGCGGTCAAGTCGATGTGCTGGCCTGTCAAACACAGCATGGTTAATTTTATACATACAATATAGTAACACATCCTCCATCTCTATTTTTATAGGTAATTTCCTAAAATCAATATAACCTTTACTTTTGTACAACTGGAATTCTCTTTCTAGTTTAAAGTACTTGCACCTGAACATGTAATCATCATGATATTTCTCCAGCCATCTCCGTTCTACCATAAAGTGTATAAAATGTGAAGGTAATTCAACATCTTTAAATGAATTTTTGCCAAATCTGAAGATACATCATAACCTTTTTTTACACCTCCACAATGACTAAATCTATTTTGGTCTAAATTTGAGCAAACTAGTGACTAAGAATTTCTGAGAAAGTGAGCTGAATGCATCCATTATGAATGGTGAAAATTAAGAGGAGATAACACAAGTAAAGGACTGTGGTGTGACAAATGTTTTACTTAAAGAAAGATCTTAATATGACTTAAGTAAAAACAAACTACTACTGACCAACAGGGAGTCCAAGAATGTGTTCTGGTGTTGGCAGATCAAAACGGAATTTCCTGGTGTTAGGGCTGATTTCCTGTAAATCAGATTAGGTCAAAGTTCACAACCCTTTAATGGTTCAACCTTTATATCATTGCTTCATATATTGTATTTACAAAACAATCGCGAAAAAAAGAGATTATACAAGGAAACACACTTTGTTCTTACCTTTTTGTCAGAGAGTTTGAGTGAGTACTTGGTGTTTGGATCCTCCAAAGTGACCAGGGGCTTTTTCTTTTTCTGAAACAGCAGAAATCTAGTTATGATTGCAGTAACGATTACTGATGCCACTCCAATCACAACTGGAAAAGCCTGTAAACAAATAACAGGGGACAAGCTTAGCTCATCATTGAGATCACCAGCAAACAAACAGTGGAGGATGAATGTGAGTTTATCTTCACAAACGCCAGGAAACAGCCAATATTACATCTTTTTTGTAATGCAGGTTTCTCTGCTGTTTTCAGCAGGAATTGATTATCATATCGTTAGTTTGTGTGAGAGAATTACTTCATTTTCTCACAAATTTATGATGTTACTCTCACAAACATATTGAATGATGTGACATGCAATACATGCTCATAAGGCCAGAGACTGGAAAAGACAGAATAAGGTCATTTTCAAAAAATGCCTGTAAATGACTAACTGATATCAACTCATCTCCATCTTAAAACAGTGACAGCACTATCCTGGTAAATAAACATCGCCAAAGTCTCAACATGGATTTCAGAATTCGTATAAACCTCTTCCGGTCTTTGTTATTTTTATGAAGCATGATGCTCCTTTTCCAACAACAAGTTCTCACAACAGAAACATATAATTATGTCATTTTTTATCTTTGTGAGAAACGTCCATGTTATCATGAACATAGATGGAATTTCATTTTGAAGATGAATAGTGTATTTAAGTCCACATAGACCCAGAGAAAACACACTGGGCAGTTGTATGTTGATAACACGGTAATAATACATCCTACTGCCTTTTAATTAAGAATAGACTAACTGGCGGATACTGTCCTACCTCATTTCCTTAAATGGCTCAAATTACCCTTACTAATTTCAATGACCTCATAAGCTAGATTTTATTTGTTTTGTTTCATGGTAAGGTCAAACAACTGAAAGACACTCAATATGAAGAAGTTGTAGTGAAAACACATAAATGTATATTGATAGCCAGTACTATTTTTAGGTAGCATCCGGGTCTCTTTATAGTAGCTTTTGACTACCCATGTCTGATTGTCTGATCCACATACAAGAGGCCAACACCTGATATCCAGTTCAATTGAAGCAAATAAAGTCTCTTGGCCAAGAAAAATACCACATCAGCAATAGACAGTAGGGTTTGAACTCAGATCTCCGAGACTGAAAAGTCTCATATTCTTCTACATAAGCTCTTGTAAGTGACAAGAATTAACAAAATATTGATCTACAGTATTGATTTTTTCGCTTTAAACTTGTGTTAGATCAATAGTTTACATGTGATTAACTAATTTACATACTGAAATATAAAGCCACAGCACGTATTGATGTTAACTGTGACCATATGTTACATGAAGATACATGTATGTAATTTCACAGTGTGGCTGATGTCAAACATCTACATACATACACCATACTTATCCAACAGTAATCCCATGTCTGGTAATAAACCCACCCAAAAACATGGCAGTTACACAAGAAATGACATTTTTTTCCCATCATTCATTTTCCTGTGAGGGGGATGTAGCTCGCCCTCTCACATTGCCAAAACACTGATATTTGTCAGTGAGACATTTCTTGCAATAAAAAGAGACACAGACAGAGACAGAAAACCTGTAACCAACCATATTCTGATAACCTTTTCCTACCCAAAAAAACAACAATGCACAGAATTATGTACATTCTGTAAAATTGTATATTTTTGTGGGGATCAATTTTTGTGGTTTTTCAAAATTTTACTATTTTTCGAGAACACTTCTTTCCATAGATAAATATAACTCCATACTAATCTAACATGTCATTGACATTATTTTGAGTAACCATGAAATAAACGGAAAACAAAATGTTCATGAAAATTGACAATTTTACAGTAGCTACAATGTATGTGGAATCTATGAATGTCTCATCTTGGAAACTCTGTTTGAGGTTTATAGTTGAAAATAAATTAGCCACAAACTATTCTTGTAATACAATAAAACTTCTCAATCCATGGTTACACAAACATTTGCTTTTTTCCAAATGGAGAAATGCATGTATTACAACTTGTACTTGAAGAATGGTGCCTGACATAAACAGCCCCGAGAGTCTGATATTTTCAGAATATTTTTTTTAAAATCAATTTCTTTGTTTTTGTTTTGTTTATGTTTTGATGGGAGCAGAAGATAATTAGGAAGGTGTGCTAAGTGTTGAGAAGAGTGTATTTGCTGCACTGTGCATTTTGCTGAGTTGTCAGTTTAAAACCTCTTTCCGACTGCGGCAGCACATGGTCTTTATATATAGGTATCAGGTTCAGCCAGATACAGCTGTAATTCAACAGTTTAATGATTCATCAGGTCAAAGTTTGTTCCACAGACTGTTTTTGTTCTGCAGAAACATTCTCAAGTCTCACAATGTTGGTAGAAAAATCAAGTTTCTTGTGTATTCTCAGTTACTGAAATAAAGTGTAATTGGTTATTTAGCATTAGATATTTTCATACTTTTTTATACAGTTAAACCCCTCTACATCAAACTCCTTGTGACCTCGTCAACACTTTGTGGATACAGATATTAAATGTGTTTCACTGAATCACTTCACAATGCTATTGATATTTTGCTTATTTAATACACAATATTCACTTCATCATTAATTTTTCTACATGAAAAATTTCCATCTGGAGACTTTTGTTATTTTCATCATGCTCCAAATGAAGTTGTAGATGGTGTCATTTCTAATGGAAACTCAATTTATACAATAACATGTACCAGTTATATACAAAATTCCTGATCTGGGGAAGGGGGGGGGGGGCCTTTGTTCATTAAATAAAATTGATATTTGACAAAACAATATGCTTTTTAAACAACTTTCAAAAATAGTAATTGCCATCTAAAATACATTAAACATGCTAATGCATGACTTAATATATTCCAAACAAATTCTGCTGTGTTGACTAAGTTAAAAAATATTTTCAATCCAAAATAAATCTATATTTCTAAAACCAACTATCCAATTAAGTAGGAACATTCATAAGTCATAACAATTGTATACACAGCTTGAGTGCAATAAGGACCCAAAAATGTCTGGGCGTGTTGGAGCAGGGCAAATACGGTAATATACAAGTATTTCCTGTTGTCTGATAAAAGTCTATGAAATACTAAAAACAGAATTTAAAATCGTAATTACACATACAGTGTATATATGTAATAAAAAAAAATCCCAACTAAATGAACAAACATTTGTTTGTGTATTAGTGAAAATCTTGAGTGCTGAAAGCAGCATCTTCATGTACATTACTTGGCAGAACATTTGCACTCTTTTTATCTAGTCTCCTCAGTGATTCATACAGATTGAGTCAGCTCTATTTAAGTCAAATGTACATGTACTTCATCCTGCGCCAAAATCAGTTATGGATCAAGTAAAATTTTTTTCTTCATTCCACACAAACAATTTTTCCCCCAGCCATCATCCTCATTTCATATCAAATTTAAATAAAAAAGTTATCTTCAACAATTCCCAATAGTCTCTTTCCAGAATAAAGTCCTACACATCTTACAGAAATTTTCTTTGGAACCAAGATATTTAAGAAATTGAACTTTAACCTTTTTATTCTGACTCAGTACACATGTATTGCACGACGTGCTGTACTCAAAATTACGCTTACATAAACAGTGACTTAAAACAATGAAAATAACAGGGAAGATTTTAATTTTCTACTTCCTTTCCAACAGAAGGTTTTAAGTTTCTACTTCCTTTTTTCTTGTAGTGCAACAAAAAGTGAATTTATACTGCATTGTATACTTAAAGATATTTTAATATTTGTAGAGCCTTGTCATCATGTCTGAAGGATATTTTTTTTTCATTTTATTAATTATTTATGGCATATCTGGGAATGCAAAGTATCTCTGAAATTCTTTACTACAAAACTTTTGGTCATTTAAAAACTTCAGAACTTCGGATAGAGTTATATATCACAAACTGCTGGAGAACCAGCCCTGTGAATATTCACAAATGTTGTGATCGTTGTCTTGGTTACAAAGACATGGTAGACATTCCAGTGATGTAAAAATCAAGAAGAATTGGAAACAAAGCTAAAATTCATGTCAAGTTGTCGAGACCAGTAAACTTTTACACTACAATCTCATCATGCTTACCCTGGCCAAAAAACACCTACACACTGTAATAAGCAGAATAATCATGAATGTACCGTATCTATTCAATGATAAGCCCATGGCTGGTAAGTAAGCCCACACACATATATATTTATATATTACTGTTTAACAGATTCATTACTTCATGGTCCTGTAATAAGCCCACCTCCTACTTCTACTTTAAAATCAAAGGTTAAGCATTGGCCCAAAAGTGTAATGGCAAGATTAATAGAGTATTTCATAACATACTATTCTAGCTACCAACATGTACCTCAAAACTAACAATTTGGTTGGGAGCTGTATCATGGACTTAACTTACCTCTGTAACTAAATAAATTCTTACATACGAGGCCAAACATTAACCTACATGGCCATGCCATCATATACCAATAAGTACAACATGCAGTGGTAAGGGAATGGAGGTTCGGACTTGCCATATACTATATGCCTAAAATTAATTATTAATAATTCTTCCTTTTCCTTGAAAAAATTTACTTGTCAGTACTAATCTAAGTGACAGCTGATGAAATTTTAAGTTGGAAAAAATTGTAAAATCTTGCATAATTTTCATTTTAAAAGTGATGTTTTTCTGAAGTATTATGTGTCAAATTGGAGTATATCTCACTAAAAAATAGTTTTTCATCCAGAAATTGATCATCAAACATTTAGATGAAAGTCTAGCAATATGGATCTTTCCAGATACAATCTAATATTCTTTAGACAAGATATGAAAAATACTCTAGTCCAGATAAGAAAATGATATTGAAAATTCCTCACTGTTATAAACTTCAAGTGTTTTGAAAAGTTTACAGATCGAAGGACGAGGAAAAGAAACACGATACAAACTGGGTGGTATAATTATGATAATTATATATATGTACAATAAGAAGGTAGTTTTTCATCAAGAAATTGATCATCAAACATTTAGATGAAAGTCTAGCAATATGGATCTTTCCAGATACAATCTAATATTCTTTAGACAAGATATGAAAA